CTGTGAGTTTTGTCCATTCATGCTCCTTAAATATCACAGTTTTACCCGTTTCACTCGTCTTGCCCTCATTATCTGCCCTCCCAGGTGTGTTTCAGGTGCTGCATCACCTGCTCCCACTTTGCTCATTTCTCCTTCAGTTCATAAACCACCAGTCCAACAGCTTTCCAGCATTACAGTTTGACCTGTTTGTAATCTGTTTGTGCTCTGAAACCTTTACGGAAATTCTGTCCATCTGAGTAAAATTCCACTTTTACACATTTTCTTTGTGTTTTGGATAATTAAAGAAGGTGATTATGGCATTTGAGGCTGAATCCTAAAAACTCTGCTGGTCCATTAACTCTTCATCTATTAGTATATCTCTACATTTCCACCTCCTCTACTTTCCATCCATGTTTTCTAGCGTTTACATGAGCATCACAGTGACTGTAGATGTTTTGCTCGTTGATATTCAGAAACCTTTCAGTCTAAAGCTCAGCTGCATGTGCGTCTGGATATTGAAACTGTTCGGTCTCTACCTTCTTCTGCGTCTCGTATCTTCTGTCCAGCTCGTCCACCTTCGACCATCATGTCCAGCAGCACCCCGCAGAAAGCCTTCATCACCGGGTGGGACTGACTGACCTCCACCTTCAGGAAGTTGGTGTAGTATTCGTAGGCTGGAGGCGGTCAGAGGTCACAGAAATGTAACTTTGATTTCATATTTGATGGATAACATGTTCATTATTTGGTCTTTTATTTGTCTTTAAATAGCTCAGTGAGACCAGATCTGTTAATTAAGTCACCCTTCTAACAAATCTGTGCACCTAAACCTCCTTAATTCCTTAATGCAGAAGGACTCCACTGTGGTCCAGATCCTGGCTTACCTGGGTCGTAGGACTCTGCGGTGCGATGCAGCAGACTGATGTCGATGCGGCCCAGATGGATGATGTTGAACAAAGCCGTTATCACCATCCTCCATATCGCCACGATCAGTCCCACCACAGTGTTGATCAGGAAGAGCAGGTAGGTCAGCAGGAACAGGGACTCTCTGACATAAAACACCACAGAGATTATTACTGGAGGCTTTACAGTGAGTTTACTGGGCCTGGTCAGTCCTACTGGTCCTACTGGTCCTGTGGGGGAAAGTGTGTGAAGTCTTTAGTGGCTCTGGAGGCGTTTGGTCACATTTGATGCTCAGGAGGCTTCCTGTTTTTGAATAAAACACCATTAAACTGTGGGGAAGAGATTTAAAACATGTGGGTATCTTTGGAGCAGCGAGGCTCTAATAAAAGATTTTTAACTATATTATGTGAGGTGTGTTTTCTCTTTTGTTCTTACTGTTATTTTAAAATTTTCATGTCTTATCTGCTGTTTCTATGAAACTGTATTATGAAATAAAAGGAATATTTCTTTAACTGTTCAGTTACAAATGTTATTCTTAATTTTGATTTAATTTTTATTTACTGTTGTCCAGTTTTTGAAAGCTACCAAATATCACCTTTAAAAATAAAAAATAAAAAAGACAATTTCCTTTATATGACAGCAACATTTCCATTAAATAATTATTCGAAGTACACTGTAATAAAATAAAATAAAATAAAAACTTTTTTACTTTTACAATTTACTGTAATTTTACAGATTTTCCCTGTTTGTTGATTACAGCTCCAGTAAAGATCTAGTAATAAAAAAAGTTTTCAATTTACTATTTAACCACAAAAACAGCCCAAATCTTAAATTATGTCCACATGAACAATCTGTATTTTTATAAATTTGCAGCTTTT